GGGAAAATGAACAGCTGAAGCATGCCTTAAAACATGGGTGTCAAACTTGATTCCATTGAGGGCTGCATCAGGGATGTGTTTGACATCAAGGGGGAGGCAGGGGGCATGGCTGGTTTGACATTACTCATATTGGGGCACCTTTGGTGGCCCGAGTGCTCTGCCAGCAAAAACGAGCTCCCAAGCTCTGATTTGGCTGCGATGGCCTCTTGCAACCCTCTGCCAGCGAAAATAGAGCTTTGTTTTCGCTGGCAGAGGCACTGTGGGCCAGTCCTTTGCTGTTTCCAGGGTGGCCCTGAGGGCCAGATATAAGCACCCCATGGGTCAGATCTGGGCCACAGGCCTTGAGTTTGTCACCCCTGCCTTAAACCTCTGCTTGAGGTGCTTCAAAGAAACTGAAGTATTCTTGGTTTTGATGAAATCTGCTTCTGAAACCAAATTGATTTTATATTTATATTTAAAAAAATTTAAATGTGATAGGTTTGACAAATCTATAATTTTTAAAACTCTTTTTCTATAACTGAAAAAAAATCAAACAAATCATGGAAGCTGACTAATTTGTTCCATTTTCAAAAATTTTCCTCTTTGTTTCAAATCTGAGTAATGCTTGATACAGAATTTTGACCAAAAATAAACAATAACATAACCTCTCAAGGCATATCCTACAGTGGAGATATTTCCAACTACTTTTTTATAAGAACAATATAATAAAATTATGAGAAGTGTCATCTATTGGATTACAAAAAATAATGATATATTTTTTCTAATATTTGCATAAGACATAAAGCTATTACCGTAAATTCTGGTGGATATCCTCCCACATAGAAGACCACTTTGTCAGGATCCAAGTTAAGAAGAGTGTTACTATTCCTACTAGAATCTTGAGGTACATATTTGGCTGACAAATCTGAGGATGCAGCATGCTTGTATTCTAATTCTGCATACTGGTAAATTCTAGAGAAGAAGAAAAATGCATAAAATTGAAAGTCTTCCAATATGAGTGCAAAATAATTGGAAAGGATCTATTTTAAGGGCCCATACCTCTTAAATGAGACTAGATCCAAAGTTATGTCCCTAGTGTTTTTCTCATACAATTTTTCCATCACTCGTATTTCATTTTCGGAGCCTCCTAGGTTATAGGCGCAAATAAGATGACCACCACGAATAGCCATACCGATATAGTTGCTGGAACTCTGAACATGAAAGCTTAAGTTAATTCTTCAGACAACTGCTATATACTATATAATCCTTTTTTTTAAAAAAAAATTCAAACATAACACCTGCAAAGGAGGTGCATGCAAACAAAATCACTAGTGGGGGGAGTTGTTTTCAATTTTTCTCAGTCTGCTGAGGTTTTTTTTAATTCCCACATAAGCTTGTGCTCACACTGGGACAGAAGTTGCCTTACAGATAAATCTAAGTTCAATGTAGATATTCAAGGCAATTGGATGGTACAAATCTGGGCCGTATCTAACAAAATGAAATTCAATATAGAGAAAAGTAAAGTCCTACACTTAGGCAAGAAAAACCAAAAGTACACATATAGACTGGGTGAAACCAGGCTCAATAGCAATAACTGTGAGAGGGATCTGGGAGTCTTAGTGGACAACCAGCTAAATATGAGCCAGCAGTGTGTAGCAGCCGCCCAAAAAGTTAATGCAATCCTAAGTTTTATTAACAGAGGGATACAATTAAGATCAAGGGAGGTACTAATACCACTCTATAAAGCCTTTGTAAGACCACACCTAGAGTACTGTGTCCAGTTTTGTTCACCACATTATAAAAAAGATGTTGAGTCTCTAGAAAAAGTACAGAGAAGAGCAACCAGGATGATTAGGGACTGGAGACTAAAACATACGTAGAACAGTTACAGGAACTGGGCTTGGCTAGTCTAGTAAAGAGAAGGACCAGGGGAGACATGATAGCAGTCTTCCAATATTTGAGGGGCTGCCACACAGAGGAAGGGGTCAAGCTATTTTCTAAAGCTCCTATAGGCCAGACAAGGAATAATGGATGGAAACTGAACAAAGAGAGATTTAACCTGGAAATGAGGAGAAACTTTCTGACAGTGGGAACAATCAACCAATGGAACAGCTTGCCCTCGGAAGTTGTAGGAGCACCATCACTTCAGACTTTCAAGAAGAGATTGGACTGCCATTGTCAGAAATGGTGTAGGGTCTCTTGCTTGGGTGGGGGGTTGGACTAGATGACCTACAAGGTCCCTTCCAACTCTGATTATCTGTTATCTGTTAAATCATCCAAAGAACTCTGAATGGGTGTTTGTAATCCTCTAATTATCTGATAGAAAGTTCTAGCCCTCAAATTCAGGGTTATGTAAGCTAAATCATTTCCATTAATATATATTATTATACATATCTACACAAATGTACACATAGTAAACCCTGATTAACAAATAGGTGAAATGGTGCCCGTTTCAGCCAATGTCCGTTAAAGGGTGAATCAGATTTATGTATGTCTAAAATTTTCATATATAGTTCATAATATATGGAAAACACACAATGTCCAAAGCTTCACATGAAGGCTTAAAACATCTACATTCTAAGAATCAATTAGAAGAATTATAATAGGATAGGTAATTAACACAAATAGTTCATGACATTTGATGCTTTTAGAAAGTAATTATGTGGCTCCTTTGACATAATGACAGGAGCTTTGCTCTATTTTCAGCTATAGCTCCATTTATTTCCTGCATTAAAGATACATTCGGAAGATAATTTTGACCATTATTCAAATGATAAATCCCAAATTGCAAATATCAGGTAAATAATTTGTTGGGGTGGAAGAAGTCACTGAAAATATGGGTATTAATATCTTAGATCGGCTTGTTGTTTAGTGCCTAAAACTGACATGATAATTGATATACAGGTCCAAGAAAACCCTTACTGATGTCTCAAGGCCTAGAATAAAGTAAATATATTGATTCAAAAGACTGGAATGCTTAGGACAGGGGTCCCCAAACTTGGCAAATTTAAAACTTAAGCTATGCTGGCTGGAGAATTCTGGGAGTTGAAGTCCACAAGTCTTAAAGTTACCAAGTTTGGAGATCTCTGGCTTAGGATTTTAAACCCGACTCTGCCAAATAAAGATAGTGATTAATTTCTTCATTTTGCAGTAAACTGACATTTTGCTTACATTTGATTTCTTTCTTGACAGAGTGATTCCATTTTTTAAATTCTGGAACACTGTTATATTGTTTTCAGTTTAAGAACTTTCTATTGAACTAGTCAATATTGATTGTTATTATTTTACATGATCTTCTTTAAACATTAAGCTTAATTATTTTCTATATGTAATATAACCTTAATATGCCAAAAAAGATAAGGAAAAAAAATAGCAAACCAAACAAGAAAAAAAATCAGAAACAGAGGGGAAATAACAATAACTAGCCAGGTAAGAAAAAGAAAAAAAAATCTTAGAAGTAATGTCAAAATATAGCTAAGAGAGAAGTTTAAAAAATTAAAAGATTAACACTTAAAATTAAACAATGAATAAACTACAGTAAAATAAAATATATTTTGGTTATAGATTTGTGATTTTTCAATAATGGCTTGGTAAGAAATAGTCAACACTTACATCTTTGTTACCCAGATACATGACAAACATGTTGCGTGGTTGTGTCATGTGTTCCTTTTTATCAGGCCTTTGTAGAAAGAAAGAAAGGGAAGTATAACCCTTCAGATCATCCAGGATATCAGGAAGTCGAACTTCAACTCCCGATTTGCCATTGAATTTCATAGGGATGGCTACCTAAAGTAAGGTTTGCAAGTAATTACAAACTTAGTTAGTAAGCAAAGCTTCAACTTACATACATTTCAGCAAGCCATACCTTATTTACAGTGTATCTTTCTTAAACAATTCAACCAACTTGGACTTACACAGTTTTGTTAACATTACTTATATCCCTATTGGCCTGACATATGTAGGCATCCAAAATAAAATATTTTTGAGAAAAAATACATAAAGCATATATAAAAATGTTTGGATAAGTATGGGAGAATAATTTTTTAAAAGGAAGCAAGGTATCTTTTGCCACAGACCTTATTTGCAGCATCTCTGGCTTTCTGGATGAGTTCCCTGATGCGATTTATATTCTCAGTTATATTGCTTGTTGATATGACTTGCTGATTGATATTTGTAATCTTGTTAAACAGATCTGGGAGCATGCTTGTTAAGTTATTTACTGTTGAAAGCATTTTAAAATGAGGGAGAAATATAGGATATTACATATCAAAATACAGATTGCCAATTTTACACATAATTATTACAATTATGGCTAAAGGCTAAAGTAATTGGGAATTTAATTTTTAGTTATTAACAATACACTAGTTTATTTACTTGCTAATTATTATCCCCAAGTGGATACAGAAAAGGAAAATGATAATTGTCCAGCTTGCTATGCCCTATTTTGGTTTCAAGAACACAAACTAGAAGGAATAGCTACTCTGTTAAGCTTAAACATATTAACAGCCTTTTCCAGTCTTTCACATCCTCCAAAGGTCTTGAACTACAAAAATCTACATACCCAACATTCAAGGTAAAGAATTCAAACTCGTCTAAACACCCACTGGGAAATAGAATTATTATTTTGGAGGAAACAGGACTAGTATTGTACTATTAGCCCAATAATCACTATAGCTCTCTAACAGTGCTATACAACAGAAAAAGTGAAACTATTTCCTATATACAAAATGAGGCTGATGCAGGAAGTGAATAGTCCTGTGTAGACTTGCTTCACTATATAAACTTGCTTCAACTTAACAAGTTAAACCTGCTTGTGATTTGTTAACCTAAACCTACCACCACAATAAGTTAAACCTACCCATGACTTGATTTTGAAAGCATTACAAGCAGTTTCCCCAACTGCTTCAACCCAATGACTATGCCCTTAAAATGGAGGAAGAGGGTTCAAGCATTTTTGCTGCTGCTTAGATTTTACCAAAGTCTCTAAAATCTTATATCTGAGGACTGACTTCCATACGTCTATGCTATTTAGGTTTTGTCAGGTGTTACTATGCAATATCTTGGAAGAGATTATTCTAGAGTGAGGACCTAAATTATCTGGTTTTGACTTTTCCAGAAAATCTGTTTGGTTCTATAACACTCACAAAGTGTATCTATTAAGTGACGACTCAATAGACATTTCAACAACTGACCTTTTTCAGAAAATGATACAAGAAAACTCTGGCATTAATTTAAAAATAGTTTAAGGAATCCATAGAAAAGGAAAAAAAAGTTACCTGAATGGCTTGCTTCTCTCAAAGCCTTGTTGAAATCAGTAATCTGTATATTTTCATAGGTGTTCTTTATGTTCTCAACTCCAGCTTTAATGGGGTCCAGTTCACTGAGTACATTTGTTGTAATATTGTTGGCATTTTTAATCATGGTATTTGCAATTGTGATTAAGCTCTCTGTCTTATCTAGGTGGCAAATAAATTGGCACATAAATTCAGGATAACTTTTGTCTTTTAAGATACGATAATATGTAAAATGCTCTCTCCTGAAATATACGAGGCTTATATTCTGCACTATTGTAAGTAACTATATAATTTTTATACAGTTTTTTGTTTCTTTTCTTTCACTTAGTGCTTTTTTTTAATAAAAGAAAAACATGGGTACAATAAATCCAATAAAATGCACATTAGTAGAAAGCCACATCACATTACTTACCTCTCTTTATTCCCTGGAGGTTATTTTGGAACTCACTAAGATTTCCCTGTATTGCAGTTTTTTTCCGTTCAGCTTCCTGAAGCTTGTTCCTCATAACATCAAGTGCTGGACTGAGATCTATAAAATAATCTACTATAAATCATCCTGACAATTATGGATTGCCCTCACTTTATTACTAATAGTAGTTTTACTATTCATGCTCCTATAACTCACTGCTTTCTGATGAGTTGTCTGTGTTTTCCTCTAGTTATTCTTTTGCCCAGATGGCCAGATCATGAACCCATTACAGCCGAATTCATTTCAGTGTAATCCTACTAGGCAAATTTAGCTACATTTAAATATATAGCTAATGTTCAGACTTTAGAAAAAGTTCAGAGAAGAGCACCTAAGATGATCAAAGGCCTGGAGGTTAAAACATATGAAGAACAGTTGCAGGATTTGGGTTTGGCTAGTCTAGAGAAAAGAAGAGCTGGGGTGACACAATAGCAGTATTCCAATATTTGAGGGGCTGCCACAAAGAAGAGGGGGTCAAATTATTCTCCAAAGCACCAGAGGGCAGGACAAGAAACAATGGTTGGAAACTAATCAAGGAGAGAAGCAACCTGAAATTAAGGAGAAACTTCCTAACAGTGAGAACAATTAACCAACGGAAATTATTGGTACTTCATCACTGAAGATTTTTAAGAAGACAGTGTACAGCCACTTGTCTGAAATGATACAGGGTCTCCTGCTTGAGCAGGCAAATGGACTAGAAGATCTCTAAGGTTCCTGCCAGCTCTATTTTATTCCAAATATGACTTTGGTTTGAGCTTTTTAGAAATATCAGAGTCCCAGATAATTTATAATTACTGGTAGTCAATGGAAGGAATCCAGTTCAAACAATTCTGGAAGTTGAAGTTCATACTTCTTATAGTTGCCAAGACTATGAATCACTGATATAAGAGGAGGAAACCACTGGATTCTACAGCCTCCCTTCTCTCACACACAACTTTTATTAGGTTGAGTTTTGTAAGATCTGTTTCTCTGAAACTCATTCTGTTGAAAGGCCATCTTAAAACAAAGAAAATCACTTTCACTACCAACTCCCATACTCTTTGTCAAATGTAGTGACTGTGAACTAGGCTGATGTGAAAACTTCCGATTTTTGAAAAGGAGTCAGTCAGTGGTAAATATATTATAACTTATTTTCTAACAGGGTCAGGTCTGGAACAATAATAGAGGATGAAACCCTAAAGCTTTTTATCATATTTTGTAACACTTGCAATGCACGATGTGTTGATGATACCTTGCAATGTCTTCTGTGTTTCTCGCGCTTTGTTTAACACTTTTCCACTGTTGGTTTTCAGTCTTTCAGCCATTCCAGATAGATCTTTTTCATCCACTATCTGAAAATGAAGCACTGACAGGTAAGAGGTTTGTACAGCAAAAGAAGTGCAATTTCATAATCCAAGCCAGCAGTAGCAGAATTGCTGTAACTGTTTTGTGTGAATTCAGAACATTTGGAACTGGAGGTTGGTGCAAAATGAAGCAAGTGGCCAAAAGAGGGCCAGAACAGAGCAATATGCTCCAGACGCAGAGCTATTACAATACAAAATCTGTTTCTTTTGGAGTTTATTTATCTCAGTAGGCAAAATCTCTCTCTCTCTCTTTATCTATCACATTTGAAATAACTTCCCTGGGAGAGAACACAATGCTTATCTTTACCAGCTTATCTCTATCTCTATCTGACCAGAACCCTGATAAATCTTTTCAGATTGCCTGATTTTGTGCTACCATTTGTTCTATTCATCCTACCTATGACTGAAGATTGCTATAAATTTCAGTGATTGTCACTATTATCTGTACTATTGTTACTAGATTATTTTTATGTAATGTTATTGTATGTCTACTTTTAGTTTTATTCATTATAGGTTTATGTGTTTTCCCGTTTTCCCGAAATGTGTTTTCATTTCATTTGATTTGAATCTCTCTCTCACTCACTCACACACTCTCTGTCTCCCTATCTCTTAGTTGCTATTTTTAAAAAATGTGCATCCCTCATAAATCACCTGGCAATCAAAGATGTTTCTAGTGTTTCCTATCACAGCTATCATATAGCAATTATTTTTCCTTAAGAACTTGTTTGTAAGAAGAAGAAAGAACATGGGAATTACAAATGTAAGTTTATACTATCTTTTTCCCCAATAAATTTCATTTGAAGCAGAGTAATTATCTGGAAATCGAGATGGTACATAGGCTGATAAAGTCAAGACAAAAACTAATTAAACAGAATTCTGATGAGAATAACTACATAAAGCTAATATGCTTGGTCTCCAATAACTTCTTCCAGGAGTCACATCAAAAACTACAATTTAGTCCAACTTTGGGAGATCATTCGAAACTGCTTTCCAGGTTTCTAGAAGCCAGGGGTGGGATTCTACCAGTTCGCACCTATTCACTAGAACCGGTTGTTAACATTCTAAGCAGTTCGGAGAACCGGTTGTTAGAAGAAATTACTGGCCTAATCCTGTAAGGAAGGCAGGAAGGAAACATTCTGGTGTTGCTTACAGAAACTGCCTCTCCATTAACCCTTATTACATTCTTGGCAGGACTAGACTTACTGTCTCAGGAACTTCTCTGGAGTTTTTTCCCCCTCCTTTGCTGGTACTTTGCTTGTGTGGAGTGACCATTCAAAGTTACAACGGCACTGAAAAAAGTGACTTATGACTGCCATTTTTCACACTTATGACTGTTGCAGCATCCCCACAGTCATGAGAGGCCAGGCGAGGAGATGTGTGCCTCGATGTGAGTGATATTGAGTTGGCCACGCCCAGCCAATAACATGCCCACCAAGCCATGCCCACCAACTTAGCCACACCCACAGAACCAGTTGTTTAAAAATTGAATCCCACCCCTGCTAGAAGCTATATAAGATCTTAAGGTCTGCCTCAATCTGTTACTATCCTAAAAGTGCAATAGATCACATGTTAAGTTTGTTTATTTTTCTGCTGGGCAGGAAGAGGGTGGTCTGAAAGTAGTTCTACATCCATTACTTTGTCAAAATCAGACCAGATTTCCCTTTGAGATTTAGGCTTGCAGTGACTATTCTTTTCTAGAGGTAAAAGATCAATTCAAATAGTCCATTAACATGGATTCAGATGAGTTCTAGGGACCTTCTTATAGTTTGGTTGGTGCTCCTTTACAGAATTAGCTTTTGCTAAGATTGCTCTTTAGCATCTTCTCCTGCAGTGCAGAACACGGTCAGCCTCTTTGCATACATTTTACATTAAGGCAGTGCGCTCATTGAAGACAACTAAAATCCTGTCTTCAGAATTTATACAGACAGGCTCTGTTTGTACAGTTTGGCCTTCCCAAACAATGCTAACCTCTCAGATCAACTTCCTTTGCTGAATTTATTTGTATTAAAAAATAAAGCAATTCTATAGGATTTAGAATACTCTTACCGATGAAGCTGAATCTGCTGCACTTAATGCTTTGTTGGCTGCTGCTTCTGCTGCTCTAATAATATCAGAAATGTTCTCAAAAGTGGTAGCACCTCCCACAGTACAGGTCACAAGCTCATTCTTGCTGGCATTCTTCTTGAGTCTGTGGAGAGGAGGGAAGCCAAAATATAGTACAGGTATCAAGTAAATTAAATACTTTAGTTGATACTTTGGCTGAAAGAAAGAAAGAAAGAAAGAAAGAAAGAAAGAAAGAAAGAAAGAA